AAGTGAGCCTCGGTGCGACCGCACAGCCTCTCTCTCTCGGCGTTGGGGGGCAGGGCGTGCCGCGCTGGTCCTGGCGGCATTGCCGTCCAGACCCATCGTCCTCTTCCTCCTCCTCCTCCTCCTCCTCCTCCTTCTCCTCCTCCCCCTGCTCCTCCTCCTGCTCCTCCTCCTCGTCCTCCTTTTCCTCCTCCTCCTCCTCCTCCTCCTCCTCCTTCTGCTCCTGATTCCCTCCTCCCTTCCTTCCTCCATCCACTGCTCTTGCTCCTCCCTCCTCCTCCTCTCCTCCTCCTCCTCTCCTCCTCCTCCTCCTCCTCCTCCTCCTCCTCCTCCTCCTCCTCCTCTTCCTCCTCCTCCCTGCTCCTCCTCATCCTCTTTCTCTTCCTCCTGCTCCTCCTCCTCCTCCTCCTCTTCCTCCTCCTCCTCCTCCACCTCCTCTTGCTCCTCCCTCCCCTCCTCCCTTCCTTCGTCCATGCGCTGCTCCTGGTCCTCCCCCCTCTCTTCCCTCCCTTTCTGCATCCGTGGCCTCTTCTTGTCGGTCCCGGGGCCCGCGGACCCGCTGCTCCTCCCGACGAGCGAGAAGCAGCGGAGCGAGGAGGACAGGGAGGAAGAGGAGGAGACGGAGCGGGGAAGAAGAGGAGGACAAGGAGGAGGAGGAGGAGGAGGAGGAGGAGGAGGAGGAGGAGGTCGAAAGGGGGGGGATGTGGAGGGTAGGAGGGGTATGAGGAGGGGCAGCAGGCGAGGGGGAAGTGCGAGGCGGTGATACGAGGGAGCGGCGTCTGAGGGTGAGCGAAAGCACAGCGGAGGCGGAGGAGCCGCGAGGGCCGCCGCCGCCGCCGCCGCCGCCGCCGCCGCCGCCGCCGCCGACGACGACGACGACGACGACGACGACGACGACGACGACGACGACGACGACGACGACGACGACGACGACGACGACGACGACGACGACGACGACGACGACGACGACGACGACGACGACGACGACGACGACGACGACGACGACGACGACGACGACGACGACGACTGACGACCGACGACCGACGACCGACGACCGACGACCGACGACTGACGACCGACGACCGACGACCGACGACCGACGACCGACGACGACGTCGCGACCGAGGGCCGAGGCGGACGCCGACGCAACGCTCAGGCCGCGGCCGCGGGGCTCGCGCGCGCAGGCCGCCGCCCCCCCCGCGCCGGCGGCCCCCCGCGGGCTGCGCGCCGCGGATGTGGCCCTGGGGGCCGGCGCGGCCCGCGGCGGCCGCCGCCGCCGAGGCGGCGCGGCCAGGCGGCGGCGGGGCCCCCCGCGCGGCGGGCTCTCCGGTCGGTCGGGCGCCCTGCTGCGGTCGGGGGCGGCAAAGGGGCGGCCGGCGTGGCTCTGTGAGGCCCCAGCGCGGCCCACTGGCAGAGGCCGAGCGGGGCCTCGGGCGCCGTCCGACGGCGCCGTTTTTTTACCGGGTCCGTCGCCGTTTTTTGACCGGTTCCGGCTCCGGTTCCAATCCTGGAGCCGTTTTTTTGCCGTTTCCGGTCGCCGTTTTTTTACCGCTTCCATTTTCAAGGGACATTTGTTTGGAAACGGTGAAAAATCGGCCCTGCCGTTTCCGGGGCCCACAAAGCGCCGTCGATGTCTGAGAACCGGGAGGAGCCAGTCCGGCGCCGATCAGGCGTTGCGTCATTGGGGGGGCGCCCAAGAGGTGATAACTAGGGGGGTGTGGACATAATGGCGTGGGCCATAATATTTCCCCAGAGTTCATGGAGCCTCTTCTATTTCATTGCGTCCCTGGCCCCGCCGCTGGGCCTCGCACATGCCGCCGGTCATGACTTGCACCCCCCCCTCTTGGACACCCCCCTCTTGGCCGCTCCCGATTCGGTCGACTGGACGTACACGCTGTCATTTTCGAATTATTCGAGAGTTCTTTGATTTTTTTGGGGGCCAGGGTCCTTGTATTTCTACTTGTTCGGTCCTGGGCCCTTTCCTCGCCACCAGGGGGCCAGGAACGATTAGAAGCGAGCGCTATTAGAAATGAGCACGATTGGAAATGGACGACGTGTACAGTCGGACCCCCGAACGGTACAGTCGGGCCTTCTCGGGGGTGGGGTCTTCGAGGTTCGGGGATGGTGCTGGAGGTTTTCGGGGTCTTCCTCGGGCTCTCCGCGGCTCTCCAGCATTGGGGCGCTCTCCAGCAGCTGCGCCTCGCCGAGGGCGTTCCGGGGGTGCCAGAATCTGGGGCCCCCCGGCGGCGCCTCCGGCGCGGCCCCTGGCGCGCTCCGCGCGCCAGGGAGGGGGGTCCAGCGCCGATCCGAGAAATCCGCGCGGACCTCCGAGTTTTTATGTTTATGCCACTTTTTGTTTCCCCAGAATCGTCCCGAACGGCCGCGGGAGGGCCGATTTGTGGCCCGAGACCTGCGGGGAACGGGCGGTCGGACCGAGGTAATGGAGGATGACGATTAATAAATGACCGGGGGTCGTGTTCACGCGGCGGCGCCCGGGATGACGATTAGAAAAAAACCGCCGCGGGCTGGAAAACTATGTTTTTAAACGTTCTCCTCCAGTCAGAGAAGTGTACAGAAATAGCAGAAAACTATTCTTTAATCGTTCTCCCACATTTTTTACCGTCATCCCGCATTACAGGATCGAGGTCGGTTCGGGGAGGGTGCCCTAGCATTCTGCGTGCGTGTGGGGTGCCCAGCGGTCCCCGAGAGGCCGCGCACCAGAGTTCACTCTTGCCCAGGGTCGCTCTCGCGTGCAGTCGGCCCTGCGCCTGCGGAGTGAGGCCCGAGTGGATGGTCGGGGGTGGGCGTCCGAGGGGAGGGTGGGGACTGCTAGGGGGGCGGGTATCATGGCGGGAGCGGTGATACAGGCCTCGGAAGAAATTAGCGAACATCAATGCCCCCCCCCAGTGATCAATGTTGGCGGTGGGTTGGATGAGCTGCACTTCGACCGCAATCTTCCCCGCGCGTGCCAACTTTGAGTTTGGGTGAGCGGGGGAGTGTCCACTAATTGTTTCCCTCTACCGTACCTCCCCAGATGTTGTGGTCAATGCGTCCCTTGGCCCCCGCCTCGTCCACGCACATGCCTCGGGCCATGATCTGCGAATCCTCCTCTTAATGGGGGGGCAGTCTAGTGCCAGGTAAGGTCAGGGAGCGAACCCAGCGCCAGTGCCGCCCACCCTGAACGACCACGTCGACGACGATGTCGACGTGGGTCAGAGTTCTCAGGGATGCTTCTTGGGGTCTCTTCGGACCGCTCTCGAGTGGGGTCTAGTCCAAGGTGGGGTCAGGGCGCGAACCCAGCTCGAGGCTGGTACTCCCCTCCTACACAAACCGTTTAGAGCGACGTTCCTCCAGCTGGAGCGAACCCGGCTTGATTCTGATATTTGGGGAGGGGAAAAAACACACAGACACAATTAATCTTCGATTCCCCAGAAAATATGGGAAAATATGGGAAGTGGGGGGGAAGACAAAAACCCAGAAAATATAGGAAAATATGCGGAATCATTTGATTTGTGTGTATTTATTTGTGTGCTCGTGGGCCCCTTCAATATTCCCCTCCTCCACGGACCGTGCAGAGCGATGTTCCTTCAGCCCCACCTCTGCCTCTGCCCTTTGCGTTCCCCCGAAGCCCCCCGGGCCTCCGGGAGCAATCCACGCAACCTTAGGACATGTTCGAAGCTCCGAGCGGATTTCTTAGATAGGTCCTGGCGCCCCCGTGGCGGCGCTTGTGGCACCGCACTTTGCGGGCTCCGCGCGCCAGGGAGGGGGGGGGGGGCCCCAGCGCCGAGACAAGAAGTCCGCGCGAACCTCCGAAAGTGCAGGTCCTGATCTCCAGGGGTTTACATCGTGAAAACATTCGGGCGTCGGGGGCCGGGGTCCCCCACATCCTCTTTTTGTTCATGGGGTCATGCATTACCAACCGTGCCACCTTCAGCATTTTTACCCCATGGGGCCCCATGCAACAGGTATTCATGCCAGACCGCCGCTCAGAGTCAGGAGCACCGCCAGCGCTGAGGTGAGAGTACCGCTCTGCGCCTGGAGTGCGGCCCGGCGCTGAAGCGGGGAGCGTCGCCCCGAGCCTGCGAGCGTGGCCAGCGTCGGTGGCGAGAGCAGCTGGCGCTGAGAGGATATCACCATCGTGAGTTGGGATAGCCGTCGGAGTTGAGTTGATCGAAGGATTCTTTTACAAAAAACTGCATTTTCGGAGGTCCGCGCGGATTTAGTGAATCTACGATGGGCCCCCTGTCGGCGCGTCTGGCGCCGCCCCTGGCGCGAATCCGTGAGGACCTACGAAAGCGTATGTTAATGTATGCTGGACTTTGTTCCTCTCAAGTAGAGGGCGTCGTTTCCAGTACGTGGGGAGAGCGGTTGGCTCTGAGACGATGGCAAGATCGAAGTAGGTCAGGAAGTGTTGCCAGCGTTGCTATTACTGCAGTAGCACCATGCAGAGTCAGGAGTGTTGCCAGCGCCGAATCGAGAGCAACAGCCCGAGGTGCGAATCTGGCGGGCGCTGAGGTGAGACACGCCACTCTATGTAAGGAGTGTGGCTAGCGCTTATTCGAGCGAGCCATTCTGAGTCGGAAATGCCCAGCACCAGGCGAAAGCAAGACAGCAGGCCAACATAATGAGAGAATGGGTCCCGCAGCTATGGCGGAACGGAAAGGCAGTAATCGCCAGGTTCCCTTGAACCTGCATTCGAATAGACTGTTCCAGGTTGAGCCCCTCGGGCGACTTTCCGTTCCTGGATTATCAGGAAACTTTCCAGCATGCTACATTTGAGCTCTGGGGTACAGTTCTTTGGCCTGCCCTCTGGAGCTACGTGGCCGACTCTGGAGACCCTGAATCCATTTACATTCACGTATCGCGTTTATTTCTATCGGCCTTCCGCCGAAGGCGAGATGTCCTGGCGCGCTATATGAACGTCTCCTGTGCTCGTTTTTGCTACTTCGCAGAATGTCAGCAGGCCCTTGCAACCGCAGCGTCGCTCTCCTGCGCCCCTCCTGCAGGCAGCGGCGACGACGAGGTGGAGTGGCTGCGCGACGAGGCGGAGGAGACTTTCCCCCCCGCGTTTGCCGCCCCACGCCTCGGGATGAGGCGGGGGGGATGAGGCCAGCGCGACGCAGGCTCGTCGCCCTGGCCGCCCGCGGGCATGCGAAGAGGCAGCGGCCGCGCCTCGCGCTCCCAAGCTCCGGCCCCTCCTCCGGCGTGGCAGCGAGCGAGCACGACCTCCTCCTCCTCCTCCTCCTCCTCCTCCTCCTCCTCGTCCTCCTCCTCCTCCTCCTCCTCCTCCTCTCCTCCTCCTCCTCCTCCTCCTCCTCCCCCCCTCCTCCCTCCTCCTCCTCCTCCACCTCCTCCTCCTCCTCCTCCCCCTCCTCCTTCGGCGGACCGCGGCGCGGACGCCGGCGGCAGAGGAGCGGCGGCGGCCCATCCGCCAGCGGAGGGCACGGCTGCAGGAGCCAGGAGCAGAAGAGGGCGTCGGGTTCTCAGGAGTAGCCGGCCACATGCTGGGAGCCATGGGTCACCATTGCGGTCGCTTCGCGAAGTGGAATCGCGTTGCAGGCTGGACTCGTCGGAGTCGGGGAGTCGGGGCGCGTCAGAGCGGAGTCAGGTTACACGGAGGAGCGGAGACAGGGATTGTGGTGGGTATTCGGTTCGATGTTATCAGGCTCCACGGCGCCAGTCGACAATGCTGCCAGCGGCGCACGGGCATGATGATATTTGTAGTGATGGTGTCGATGGAGATAGTGATGACCATGAACTTGGTGCATATGATGGTTGAACCGATGACACAAGTTGTGATTCAGATGGAATCGGTGGACCGCATGTTGATGCAAAGTATAAACTAATGAGGCTGCTGATGAGGGTAGCATGCCTCTGAAGTAAATCAGAGGATATAGTTAAACTGGTGGACAGAGCGAGGCAAGGACGCACGTGTACACGGATTCTCGCGGGTTTCGAGGCGGCCTCGCAAATCGGGCAGCATGTTCATATACGTGGCTGGGCGCGTAAGTCCTATCTGGGCCCCCAGAACCCCGACGCGCGATGTCATCACTTTATCTAAACGGGGGCCCCCAGACGTCCCGACCCCTTCCCCAGGGTTATGTTGTTCCCATCCTACTTCAGGACCATATCCCAGGAATTATTTCGAGCACCGGGAAAAGTGTCGAAACAGTGTCGAAAGAGCGTCTCCCAGGGGCCCGACACGTGAAAACCCTCGAGTCTGGGGGTCCTTTCCTGGTGCTCGACATTCTTGCTGGCGATCAGGGCGAAAGCAGGTTGGCGCATCACGACCCCAGGGCTGGGTGCCCAGCCACCGTCTTCTCTGGACGGCCCCAAGAGCCCGACGAGGGCCCCCCCCGAGGCAGGCGGCGGCCACACGCCTCCAGCAAGGACGGACGCGAAGACGGCGGCGACGACGTGGCGGGTGGCGCTCGTGGCGGGCAGGCGCCCAGCGCGGGGGTCAGGCAGGGAAGGTCGACGCAGGCGCACGTCAGCACGGATATTCCCACGAACCGGCCCTGGGAAAGCATGGGAACCCAAGGGCCCCCACGAGGGCGCGAAGTTATTCGCGCTTCGCGGTCCTCGTTTCTCCTCCCCCTCCTCCTCGTCCTCCTTTTCTCCCTTTGGGGGGGGCGGCGCGAGAGCGCGAAGTTATTCGCGCTTCGCGCTTCGCGGAGCCCGAAGCGCGAAGTTGGGAGCCCTAGGAACCAGAGTGGGAAGAGAGAGAGAGAGAGAGAGAGAGAAAAACAAAAAAAAAAAAAACAGCAGCTCTGTTCGACAAAGCTGGGGGGGGGGGTCCTGGAATTGGAGTTGAGCTGTTGTTGCTCCCCACGGGGGCCCTTTCGAGAGCTGGGCGTCGTCGTCCTCGTCGTCGTCCTCGTCGTCGTCGTCCTCGTCGTCGTCGGCGTCGTCGTCGTCGTCGTCGTTCTCGTCGTCGCCGCCCTCCGCGGGCAGGAGCTGCGGCTGAAGCTGGAGGCGCTCCGGGCCGCGGAGCGCTCCCGCCGCGCCCCCCCCCCCCCCCCCCTCGCCCTGCCTCGCTGCCCCCCCCCCCCCCCCCTCCTCCTCGGTCCCCGTCGCCCTCCCCGCCGCCCCTCCTCCTCGAAGGCCCCCTCTCTGCCCTCCTCGAAGGCTCCTCGAAGGCCCCTCCCTCCTCGAAGGCTCCTCCTCCTCGAAGGCTCCTCCTCCTCCTCGAAGGCTCCTCCTCCTCCTCGAAGGCCCCTCCTCCTCGCAGGCCCCTCCCCCTGCCCTTTTTTGCACTCGGGGCGCTGAAGAAGGAACCCTGCTCGTTGTGGGGAGGGACTCGGTGTTCCTCGATTGCTTCATAGTTTGCCTTGGGTTTTCCTGAGGTTCCCCATGGGGAAACGAAGTTGAACATATGAGGAAAAGGGACCTCGTTCCTTATTTAGGGTTCCTTGGGTCAACGCCTCGACTGTACTCGGCGGAACTTGAGGAACCTCGTCCACGACGTCTATGCGGACACGATCTGAAGCCACGGCCTTTTGC